TATATATATAATAGATTAAGTAAGCATACAAGTGAAATGAGCACAATCGGATGATGTTGGAGTACCTTTCATTTGGTTTAAAGAGGCGAGTGGAGGTGATTCGTAAGTTGGTCCCACCGGAGGCTGGGGTCGGTTGTTGTAGATCAGCAAGGATTGATCGGGGTCGCAGGCTGGTGCGCCGAGGATCTATTCGCACAAATCTACAACCAAAGCTACAAGCCAATCGCCCAAAGCCTCTGGTGGAGCCAACTTACGAATCCCTCCCATTCGCCTTGTCAAACCAGATGAAAGCTACTGCAACATGAATCTATTGAGGGATTCTTTGAAACACAGTTTTTCTACATACAATCAGATGATATTTTTCAGAAGCAAACAACCGCAGGACATCCTCCGAATCTTGCAACAATGGGCACCTGGAGAAGAGGATACAGAAGCTAAATGATCGATATAAAAACTGTAAATCTCACTAAAACATTAAATTAATAGTTAATAACCCTAAGCCCAATGGTAAAGCCAAGTTCATGTGATATAGTTGAATTTGTCAAAACTAACCTTTATTTGATTTTCCAACAGGAATAATGGTATCATTTGAGGGAGACAGGAGTTGCACTCAAATCACTCTTGCATCTTGAGACGGGGCTTGCCGACAACATATTCTTGCCTTCACAGACAAGCTTTTCACATGTCTTTGAACATAGAAAGAGTATTAGTTGTGTTCCCCTTATTTCGTTTAAGATGACGAAGGACCTACTCACTTACGATATAAAAAGTATTATGAATGTGTCATATTGCATAGATTATCTTCCCCACGAAACCAAAAAAGTTTAGCATTTCAACTCTTGCGCACACAGAGAAGGTACAAATGTAGTTGATAGGTTTCGAGACTATAATAATAAGCTGTTGTCAGTCTAGGTCGCCATAGTTGAAAAGAATTAAAAGTTTAATTTGTCCCACAATGAAGTGAATAGATCTCAGGTTGCCAGGGTAGTTGCTTAACTTTGCTTTCCAAAAGATATTCTCGTTCAGAATCGACTTCACCTGGGTATCCAAGTAAAATTCGACTGATAGTCTCGAAATCTACCAACCATGAAAATAAGTAATGGAAGTGGGTTGACCTCGTTTTGCCAACTTGGTCTTGTTGTCAGGGCGACTCAGTTGAACGCATCTTTAACCGAAGTCCTCTGCCATAGTAGCTATCGTAAGTCCTAGTAACAGATCGTGGACTTGGTACACTCTCTGACGTTTCACCGACATCATAGTCAGTGATCGTGCAGTGATGTCAGTGAGTATTACCATTTTCAGCACCAAGCTATGACTCATCAAAAAGATGCTGACTATGACGCTGGCGAAATGTCTGAAAAGGTACCGAGTCCACGGTCTGAAGCTGGGGCTTATGATAGCTACTATGGCAGAGGATTTAGGAGAAGGTGTGTCGCCTTGGCAACAAGACCAAGTTGCCAAAATGAAGTTCACCCACTTTTATAAATCGAGAGGAGACTGCGACCATATCGAGGGAAACACGATCTTGAAATTCATATCTTCAATAAGCAATGGAGTTTAGTTTAATGGCTAAATATTGAAAGTCACGTACACCCTAAGACCCACTGGCACCCGAACTGGGGTTCGAGTCCCGTTAAGGGCGAGGATGAGACTGGTTCAGGCGAGTCAAGTTTCGATGAAAATGACTTTTAGGAGGAAAGGCTGAGTCAAATTCTTGGACATCTCGAGGTCTATTCACCTTATGATGGAAAATATTCAACCATTAGTCCTTATAAACTGATGCCTTTAAGGGAAGGTACTGAAAGACAATTGATGTGTTCGCATAATCACGATTTGTTAGCCATTTCCAAGTGGGGGCAACGTTATCAGAGCTGACGCTGAGGACGGCAATGGCGAGGCAGATTTATTTAACAACTTCTTTAGATGTCCACTGGAGATTGAGATGACATTAAACTCTGCGAATTTGGCAGAATCTCGTCAATTGCGAGTGTCAGCAATGGTTGTGATTGTGATGAAGTAAAGTTGAGAGAATAAGAGCTACATTCGCCCACAATCACACGAAGAGACCTACAAATACTATTCGCTTTCACTAGACCTTGCTCCTGACAAGATATATCTCTCGCAAAGTGGATAGAAGTTCCAGCCTTGACTGGGTCTCATCAGCACCTTCGATGGGAGTCGAACTGGGGTTGTGGTAGTTCAGTGTGTAATCACGACATGTTACCACCAAGCCACCAAGCTATGAATGTTCCTGGAGCACAGGGTGGATGTGACTTTCAATACCTTCGCATATCATATTGTTGTAATGGGATTTTCGATGAAGCAAACATACATTTGCTTGATGCACACACACACACACACAAACAAGGCGGAGGTGAATTTCAAGGAGGGTCAAAACTTTTCCATACCCCATTTTTGTAGGAGTTTCGATGAAGTAAACATACATTTGCTATCGGAATAGACTACAGCAATTATACTCGTATTGAATGCATTTCAAAACCACCCGTAGAAATGGTAGGTTCAGACACACATACCCGCTCTAGAAGGCTGAGTGTGCGTTCCAGGGCTCCATCCGGTCGGCCGAACGGGAAACAGTAGCGGAACTCGGTGATCTGTCGCTCCAAAAGTGACGTCAGACGCTTCTTAACTCCATAGAAGCGCTCCCTCTCCACGACAAGCACGGTGTGCACGCCCTGGTCATAATTTCTGATACAGCGCAAATAGTGATTTGCAAAGGAATATGATGTAAAAAGAGAAAAGAATAAAAACACGATTTTCACGATGGCACTCGAGTTGGTAGGCA